TCGAACTTAAGATTGTTGGGGACGGCAGTTGTTGACGACGGCAAAACTCCGGCAATTCGAGCGATTCCAGATAAGTACCTGAAATTAAAAGATTATTTTGTCGAGGCCTGTGAAGCACAGTTTCCTTAAGTTCGATTTCCGTGCCACCTCTAAAGCTTCGAGGCTATTGGAGCACGGTGAACTCCCAGGATACAACGACCGCGTATTTGGAAGAAGCTTTCCAAATACCAAGCGAACTCAGAGAGAGATATGAGCAAATATGTGAATGCTCTTTTTCTCTAGAATGCTTGTTTCTTTTTTGTGTGTTTTATGAGCTAACCCAAGACCCCTATTTATAGTAGAGGGGAGAATCTCAAAACAAATCAATTTGAATTTCAAAATTCAAATTTGATTTTATTTTGATATTATCTCAATATTATCTCAATCATATTTGATAGATTTTCTGCGGATTTGAATCCAATTTGAATTTGAATTTCAAATTCAAATAAGAATATTCTCTTAATATTCTGCAGATTTAAATTTATACGGACCGGGCTTCTCACGGGCTAGGCCCGTTTTGATTCTATCAAAAAAATACACACACATATATACATACACATACACAAATATATGTATAAGAACTTTCCAGGATACTCAAGCCTTAATCCGGGAAACAGACGTAATGTTCCGCACAAGAGTTGCTTCGTTGCAGTCGGTAACTCCTGATCTTACAGAGCAATGTATTCAGTATTGGTTTTCAAAATTTTTTTGAGGTTATTGTATTCTGGGTTTGAGCAGGCTGATGATGCCTAAAATGCCACTTTGGCTCCTACTATGTAAACTCTGTACATTATTTTAGTTAATCAATACAAAACCTTATAAAAAAAACACTTACAGAAGAGGAAGATGTGGTTGTGTGGAAGATAGGTGGCAAGCCTACCGATACTTTCATCTCTAAAGAGATATGGAAAAATTCAAGGATACAACCGAAAAAGTGGCTTGACACATAATAGTTTGGTGCAGATTTGGTACACTTAAACACTCCTTTATCACTTGGCTCTTTACACTCGAACGATGCCCGACCAAGGAAACAATGGCATCTTGCCTCAACACGGACATGTTGTGTCTCTTCTGCAGGAACAAAACGGAAAACAGGGATCACCTCCTCTTGGATTGTGTTTTCACGCAGGAACTCTATTGCTCAGTCTTGAGGAAATGGGAAACCCTATCACAGCAATCTACATGGCACAATTCCCTATAATGGTTGTTGGGGACGTGCGTGGGACTGCAAAATCCGAAATCATGGGGCTTGCATTATATGGTAACTTCCCATTTACACCATTTGGGCTGAAAGAAACTCCAAGATTCACTCTTCCAAATTCAAGGACACGGTCATACTTGATATAGACATCGATTGAGGATTCCGAACCAAAATGGCGGGAATCCGTTCGACACACCCGAACATCCGTGATCTATACCCTATGGCGGGAATGAAATGTCAGAATCCACGACTCTACATTCTCAGACGAGGACACTATCTTTCACATCTATGATACTACTCTTCGACGGTTGGCGGCATCTTTCCGGAACGAAAAAACGAACCTCGCATCAGCAATATTACAAAGATGGTTTGGATAATTATTATATTGGTTTCGGTTTGGATTATCTTTACTATTTTTGGGTAATTAGGAAAACTTTATTAACCACTAGATCAGAGAGATATCGGCCGCAAGGCCTCTTTTGATTATTTTGGCTTTTCATCTTTTGTATAGATTGAAAAAGCATTTTGTACAGATTCGAAAGTAATAGAAACACCCATCTTTAACCCCAAAAAAACTTTGTTGCAGCTATATGGTTCAGCACTCCCTAAACGTCATGTTGGCAATCTTTCACATGGAGTCTTTTCTGTAATTTTAGAAAAAGCTCTTATATTGGATTTTGTTAGCCTTTCAGTTGTATATGACTAACTACACATGTAGAAACCACTCTTGATGTACGAGTTACTTTACAATATAATATAATATAATATAAATACACCCTTTAACAAAAAAAAAAGAGTCAGTTATCGGACCTCAATCATTATTATATTATTTTGAACAAAAAGTAGATAAATTGGGTTCGATATGATTTATTTCATATTAATATTAGTTCAATTGATTAAATTATAATGGAAATAAACATGAATTGTTTTGGTATGGGTTAACCCAGTAAGATAAAAATAATTTTTAAAACAAGAAAATTTTGATGGATTTGAGATTGGTTTCTGTTGGTAACGTGACTCAAAAGCAGTTTTAGGGAAGTTTTAAAGTTTCAGTTTATGGTAGCAGTTATAAGTTGTTGGTTTCTAACGGTTTATTATTTTGTCTATAAAAACATGTATTTGCGGATGTAAGAGATATTGCAGAAGGTTTGGTTTTCTGTAATCATTATATTCAGTTTCAAAGCACATAGAGAATCAAACACAAGAGAAGAAAAGTGTCAGATTTATCTATGTTGAGAGGAAACCGAGAAGGGTTTGTTTGTGTATTTGTGTATGTATTTATGTATTGTGTTAATGTAAGAGTGTTTTATTTGAGAAAGATAAAAGTGGTATCAGAGAGTTTGAGGTCTTTTTAGGATCGATGGGAATATGGGTCAGAAAAAACGATTTGATTTTTTTTTCTATTTTTTTGTTCGAAAGAAAAAAGAGTTTGTTTTCTCGTTTTTTTAAAGAAGAGTGTGTAAAGAATGATCACTTTCAGAGAGAAACTTCGAGGAGAACGTTGAAGAATGCTGGTGACACGGTGGTGTTGAATATTGTTGTAAGCATGTTGTTTGAGGGTTTAACCCTCAGTAACGTAAACCCATTTTTTGCGGATTCGAGAAGAGGCATATGTGCACTCGAAAAACGCACATGTAGACTCGAAACGGGGCAATTATGCACTCGAGAAAGGTTTGAAGATTGTTTTGTTTTAGGAGGAGTACCCGGTGGAAGAGATCTGAAAAAACCGGTGCTGCCTTGACGGTGAAAGTAGAAATTTTTTGGTTTTGTTGTGAAAAAAAAGTCTGTGCGATTCAAGCTAACAAGTTTGGTTGAGTGTCACTGTTGAAGAATATGGTAAGGCTGTTGGGTTTTTTGACTTGGTCGCGGACTAGGAAATGAGATGATTCTGAAGAGCTTTTGAGTCAAGGAGGAGGTTTGGTAACATGACTCAAAAGGCAGTTTTAGGGAAGTTTTAAAGTTGCAGTTTATGGTAGCAATTATAAGTTGTTGGTTTCTAACGATTTATTATTTTGTCTATAAAAACATGTATTTGCGGATGTAAGAGATACTGCAGAAGGTTTGGTTTTCTATAATCATTATACTCGGTTTCAAAGCACATAGAGAATCAAACACAAGAGAAGAAAAATGTCAGATTTATCTATGTTGAGAGGAAACCGAGAAGGGCTTGTTTGTGTATTTGTATATGTGTTTATGTATTGTGTTAATGTAAGAGTATTTTATTTGAGAAAGATAACAGTTTCAACTTAAAAAAAAACTTAAAAAGAATCAGAACTAATTAAAGTTACAACTAAATTTAGATTGGTTATTGATTTGATCCCATTTATTTTTTTAATTAAAACAAGGAAAAATTGCATATAAATATCCGAACTTTTACAAAATTCTCAAATAAATATCTCAACTATAAAATTTCCAAATAAATACCTAAACTTTTTAAAACTTCCACATAAATACCCAAACTTCTAAAAAATTACCAAATGAAACAATATTCGTTGACGGCAAGTCATCAATTACCGACAGATTCTGTTACCAATTTAAGGGATAATCACATATAAATACCTGAACTTTTACAAAATTCTCAAATAACTACCTAAACTATAAAACTCTCAAATAAATACCTGGACTTTTCAAAACTGACTTATAAATACCCAGACTTTTAAAAAATTTCCAAATAAAAGCAAAATCTATTAACACCGTTTAATTTATAACGGAATCCGACGAAAATTGATAACACAGTCGATTAACGCCGTCAACGAATTTTGTTTTATTTGACAAGTTTTTAAAAGTTTGGGTATTTATATGGAAGTTTTAAAAAGTTGAGGTATTTATTTAGGAGTTTTATAATTCAGATATTTATTTGGAAATTTTGTAAAAATTTAGGTATTTATATGCGATTATACCTAATCGTTAATGAATTTTGGTTTTATTTGGTAAAAATTTTAAAAGTTTGGGTATTTATATGGAAGTTTTAAAAAGTTCATATATTTATTTAGAAATTTTATAATTCAGATATTTATTTAGAAATTTTGAAAAATTGAGGTATTTATATGTGATTTTTTCTTAAAAAAGTATAATCGATTAAATATTGAAAGTTTTGTGTAAAGTGATTTTTTTTTCCAGAAACTTACCCATTTGATTTAAAAAGTCTAATATACAAAAATAGAATTTGACTGATTGAACTGATATTTATTCCTATTCTTGTTAAAAGTTTGGTTTGTTTTTTTTTTACGTTAACAATCCTATTTATCCTTATTTTTTTCATTTAATTTCACTAAAATATATTCAACATTCAACGTATATAATTAATCAACTATCTAACGTAAAAAAAAAAAGGAAAGTGGCATGACTGCTTAGATGATACTATCCTTTTACTAATATTGGAAGTATGGTTTGTCCTTATTTTATTTACCTTAAAACTTATATTTGCCCTACTTTTTTCAATTAATTTTGCTACAACATACAAAATTCATATTTATGTTTTATGCTTGTAAGTTGAGCAAAAATATATTAACTATGACGTTTCAACCAAAAAAAACTATGACGCAGGAAATATTTTTCTGCAAGTCGAATAGGTTTTGAAAATTCATAATCATACTAAACAAAGCAAAAAAAAAAATATTTAAAATATTTGTAATAACAAAATGACTAATTTAAAGTAATAAAGAAAATAGTTGTTTTATTTGAGAAAATAGTTTTCATCAACACCAAGTTATAAATACAATATTAAATAGTGTACATTTTCTTCTATTTAAACAAAGTAATTAAGTTTTTTTTTTCTGTAAGTGAATATACTATTTTCAGTGAATAGATACTGATTTCAATTTATTTATTTATTTAAACAATTGGTTATTTATATTTTTTTATAAGATTATGTATAAAAGACAATTTCATATTATAGTATTTTCTATATGTTTTCGTTTATAAGATTTTGTATACATCACAATCTTATATTATACAACAATTGATGATTTAAATTGAAAATATTTTAACCTAATTATGTATCTAGTGTTATTTTAGAAATATGTTACCAACACATTTATAATGACCCAAAATTCGGTATTTCGGATCGGTTGAATAGTCATTTGTATTATAAAAAAATCAGTTTATTCTATAATCAATCTCAAAATCTCATATCTATTACGGAAATCTACAACAATAAAATTCAATAATTTAAATCTAAATATTAATTTCATAAATAAATTAAATTAAAAAAATCCAAATCATCATGTCTTTTACAACTATTGAGTCGAACCATATGATCTGTTTTACCTTTTATTTTGGAGAAAATTTAAAGGGTGAACTACACATATAATTTTACAAACTATATATTATTAAATTATCTCATAGATAATATCTGAAAAATTGACAAAAAGAAAACAAAACTTTAGAATCGTGTGGTTTTTCCTTAAACTTTTAACCCAAGTGACAATAAAATCAATATTTTATTACAAACACTCACCGTAGAAGAAATCAACACATGAACTAATCTTCAAAGTCAACCGTCACATTACCCCCAAAGCACGAAACCAAAAAAAACATTTTCATTTTTTTAAAAAAATTGATCAATCTCCCCGACGATCTCTGCTTCCGGTGACGGGGAACCCGATACCGTGTCTTTTCGACGGAAAAACAGAGAACAGCAAGCTACAAACGACACCAACACCCATCGGAACAATGTCCAAAACCTCCTTTGTCTGACTCTCCGGCGACGGGTAAAAGCAACTCAAAACGTTGTTGTCTCTCAAAGCCACGGCTCCAAAGACAAGAACAGAGAGCACGGCATGGATCCAATCCATGGCTCGGATACGATATTTGGAAAGATCGGGTAAACCCGCACCGGATGGGTCCGGATAATCGAACATCCACATGCCACGGCGAGTGACGAAACCGTAATAAACGTTACCGTCGTCGGCCTTGACACTGTCGGTGAACGAGGTGAGGAAACAGGAGAGGGCGAGGAGGGCGAGGAGCACTGCGGTACAAGCACGAGTGGTCATGTCACAGACGCCGTTTGAGGTGAAAGCTGGGGTGAGGAGCTGAAAGGCGAGCAGGGTTCCGGTGGGGAGGAGGTTGGCTAGGTTAGCCGCCATGGTCAAAGTCTGAGACATGGCTCGTTGAGACATCGATCGTTGTCTCTTGAGCTGGGGCTGAGCCTGAGGGTTCGGTCCCGGCTCGGGCATTAACTCTTGTTGCTGGTCCGCTGGGTCATTGGTGGTTCTTGACCTAAGGGAAGACATTCTCTGTTTTCTTTCAACAGATACTTTGTGGCCTTTTGCTTTGGTTAATGGGAGATTTTGGTTGTGAATATGACGGAGTAATATATAGTCGAGGATGTAAAATAAACGTGAAGGTTTATACCGAAAATAAATAAATAAACGTGAAGGTTGAAGCTTCTTGGTTTCTTGACGTGTTCAACGTTTCAGATGGGGGCGGTCCATGCGCATATGTATATATGTATATATGCTTGGTCATATATTCGCCGTCACCTATCGATACATTCAACATAGGTTACACATATCGGTTTTGTATATTTTTTGGTTTGTTTTTTAAAAATAAACTTTTTTTTAAGGATTTTAAGTTGCCTTTTTATGTTATTTTTGTATTTATTTCGGATTCAATTTGAATTCGATTAATTTACTTTAGATGAATGGTATCAAATTGGCTTCACAATCAAATTTAATTCGAATGCAATTATACTTATTCCATTTGAATAACATCTCAACCCTAAATCTCTGCCTATAATTCAACTTTTTTTTTTATGAATTATATATATATATATATACACATACGTGTTTCTATGAGTAAAGGTTGATTTTTGGGGAAAAGGTTGCAAGAAAGAATCCAATGGTATTTTTGTAACGCTTACCCAAAATGGCGGTAAAGAAAAAACAAAATGCCGATAAAAAAAAAGCCAAAATTATCGTAGCTTTAGAATTAGCGAGTAAATCACATATTCTCACATGATTTATGACATTGAACGGATAATAATAATAATAATAATAATAATAATAATAATAATAATAATAATAATAATAATAATAATAATAATAATAATAATAATAATAATAATAATAATAATAATAATAATAATAATAATAATAATAATAATAATAATAATAATAATAATAATAATAATAACAACAACAACAACAACAACAAAAACAACAACAATAATACTAACATTGTCTCGTTTTAGCACTGAATCCACCCAATTTTTAAAGAATGAATTTTTATCAAAGGAATTTTTAATAAATTCAAGATTTTTAATATGAATTTTAAATTTAATTTTGGTATGGAATCTCATATTTTCGTTTTGTTTTAATTATTTTAAAGTTTGATTTTTTAGTTATAATTAAGATTTTATATTAAATTTGGATTCAATTTCTATTTGATATTTGGATTCTCTTAGAAATTTATTTTTTATTAAAAAATATTTATTTGTTTTTAAATATTTACATTTCATCCAATTTGTAATCATTCTTTTATATTCCATTAGAATATTCAACCTAGTTAAGATAATATCATCACTTGTTGGTTTTTAAGTGTTTAATCAATTGCCAACATTAATTAATCTCTTAATTAAGCCAAGTGTGAGGCGAAAGACACGTTCGGAATGGTTGACCAAAAGACATGTCAACTTGTCAAGCATATATTTGTTTAATTTTCTATTTTAAAGTAAAACAAAACATTTTTAAACTCTAAAATATAACAACTACACGAAAGCATTTATCGTAAATCATATGCCGTTGATTTTTATTAAAATAGTGCAAATAGGGTGATTTTTATTTTTATAATTTCTATAACCGGAAATGCAAGGAGTAGCATACCCAACAATTATTATTTTTTTAAATAAACCGTAATAATTGGTGGAAATTAAATCTGTTCGATTGATTTAATTATTGATTTTAGGAAATATTGACCCCGTTTATCTTCTTCGGTGTTTCCCAGTCCGAGTCAAAGAGGAACGACGTCGTGTGAGTAAAAAAAGACAGCATGACGGCGGCTTCGCTCATTGGACGGTATAAAATAGAATTGACAATATATCTACAATACCCATGAAACAAAAAATTAAATAAAAAAGACTCATTATCATGGCAAATGAAACAAAAACCTCCAAACATTTATGAATAGATAAAAAAACTTGATAAATTTTGAAAAAAAAAACTGAAAGAAAAATAAAATAAAAGAAATGACGCAAATCGTAACGTCTCTCTCTTTCCTCAGTCACTTCTTCTCACTCTCCTCACTCACGTTTCAGCGCTCTCTCTCCTATAACTCGCGATTTTCCTCATTCACGTCTTCTCTCTCTCCGCAAATTGTAACGATTTTCACTCTCACTCGAAACCGCCGAACCGTTCAAGTGTTTGTACCCTAAATTTCATTTTCTCTCAGCGCTCTCTCTTTGGGTAGACAGAAGAAGCAAGCGCGACTGCGAAAAAATGGAAAGTTCAGGGTCTTCGTCACATTCTTCGATCGAAAGTGAGAGCCGTATGGAGATTTCAGAGTTAGATGAACACAAGGTAAGTTAAACTTCAATTTCTTTGCAAATTTGTTTGATTTTGAGATGTGTTGTTGTTCGATTGAAGTGTGGGTTGGGAATTTGAAGGATAAAGCATTAGGGTTTTGGGCATTTTTGAAATTTGGAGATTTCGAAATAGAATTTTGATTTGAGACTTTATAGTTAAAATCGAGTGAGATGGTTGAGTTTTGGTCACAATGGATAAGTTTCAATCAAATAAGACAGTGATATAGGACACAACATGGTATGGATCGATGGATGTATAGATTGTCATGAAGAATCGGATGACCTAAGGATCCAAATGCTATGGTCTCACGGTCACAGTCACAAAGGTCACAGTGTCACATGTTTGTATAGTCACTAGGTCACAGTCTCAAAGGTCTCAGTGTCACATGTTTATATAATCACAAGGTCACAGTCTCAAAGGTCACAATGTTTGATATTTTGCAGGCGCTGTATATCTACAAACTTGATCAAATTCAGTTATGCCCGAAGATAAATACGAGATGTTACCCGGCTGAGATACTGAAGAAGCTGAAAGACCTACTAACAAACGAGGAATGAATGTACTTTAGCAAAGAGTCACAGTTTCAACATCTGTTTCACACCAAATTCGAAGAGACACTGAAGATGGCACCTGCTGCATTCCTCATCAACCATGCAGTGTTGGACGAGGACGAGGACGATTGCGAGCTATGGTTTGTCGTCAATGGAGTGCCCATCAGGTACTCCATCGTGGAGCACGCCCTGATATCGGGATTGAAATGCGGTGAATGTCTGCCAGGGTGGGAGTACAAAAGGAAAGATAAGTTCAGACTGAAGATGTTTGGGAATCAGAAAGTGTCTAAGCAAAACGTTCTTAGACAACTTGAGAAGACGCCAATCGCTAAGGTTGGTGATCAGAAGAAATTAGCCATGGTGATGATACTCGGAGGGATTCTGGACCATGGCACCACAGAAGATAGTATCAACAATGATTTAGTCGACATGATGAATGATTTGGAGTTCTGTGAAAGATTTCTGTGGGGACGATATACATTTGACAAGATCAATGATCAAATATGGAAAAGTTTTGCGAGTGGAATTCCGAACGAAAAATGGCACTATCGAGGATTTATAATACCCCTTATGGTAATTATTTTTTTGTTTAATGGCTTATTTTAGAGTTGCCATTATATATGTTACTATGATTTGAGGGTTTGTTTGCTGTGTGATAATATTTAAATAATATTTTGCAGTTGCTTCCATTCGAATGTATATCCGGCTTGGGTTGCAATGGGTGGTATAAAGATGTTAAAGAAGCAGATCCGGGGTGTCCTAGGATGTTCAAGAAGTTCGTGAAAGTAAACGTCCGATGGACCTTTAGTAATGTCATAAAAAAGATTGGGAAGAAATCAGAGATACGCCTAAATCACAATATACAATAATCACATAGTCACATAATCACATAGTCACATAGTCACATGACACCATTGGCGATGATCACACAGTGACTATGTTTTATGGTCACATGGTCACATGATTCAGAATGTGTCATATGTTGGTTTAGTGCTCTATGATGTACTGTTTATGAGCTTTATTCAGATACATTTGATGTATTGATACTTTCTACGATTTTATGAGAGTATTTGATTCATTACATGTTCTTGTATACTAGATGTGTTATGAAATCCATGTATCATTATGAATGATACTAAACTCCCTAGTCTTGTGTCATTATGGGAATGATGACATAATAAGACTAGTATGATGTGTGATTGATGATCATATAGATGATCATAGGTATTGGATACGATCACAGTCATAGGTATTCGTTGGAGAATGGAATACTGGATTGGCCCGCATGAGATTGTCACATGGACTAGCGTCATGACTGGAATCTCATATGGCGGTTCCATGATTGGATCCTAAGACCTGAGATATCTACGGAATCCAACATGAGGAGTTGCGTGCTTTGATTACGTCAAACGTCCTGCGTAACAGGAGGACTATAAAGGCGTGTATCAGGTACGAAACGAATCATGTGTTGGATTGTAGATAATCAAGACGGGATTTGTACCTCTCGTAAAAGAGAGAGATATCGCTGGGCCCCTCGTGTGAGCGAGACTGTAGAAATGTGTGGCCACACTATAGATGAACGTCGTCTATTTCAGACAGTCGAACTGAGTGAACGAGAAAGCAGTCGAATCAGAAAAGGTGGCTTGTCCATGCCTTATATTCGACATATGATATCGTGATACAAAAGGATCATCAACCGGAATCATCACTGGCGTTCGTAAGATCACGAACAAACTCTATTCGAGATAAGTAGTCATAGTGTCTTGCTAGAGACCGCCTATGACTTGTATACCCGAAATAGGGATTTCAGGTTATACTGCTATGTCGAATGAGCCTACAGGGTCACACACGCAGGGAAAGACAAATGCACGAGAAAACGTCGAGAAATCTGGATAAGTGGTCCGGACCGTCCGGTCTAGGAGTAGACCGAACGGACCGGAGCATCTAGTCCGAACGGACCAAGTTGTTGGACCGAAAGAGAGTCCAGTCCGAACGGACCAAGTGTTGGACCGAACGGATTAGAGAGTCCCGTCAGACCGAACGACCCTAGTTATATGACTGGTTCGAACGGACCAAGTGTCCAGACCGAACGGACTACTAAGCAGTCCGTTCGGTCTGGGTTTCGGATTTAATTTAAAATCCGGAATTATGGTTAATCACTTGAATAAGAGGAGATTAATAATCCTAACACTAAGGGCCGTAAAGAGAGAACTTCTTCAGACCTTTTTGGAGAGTCTAAAGGGT